ATATATATATATATATATATATATAATTATATTAAATTATTTTATATTTTGAATAATAGCGATTCTAACACGAACGAACGCATCACTGTTCGTGTTTGGTTCGTTTAACTAACTGAACGAAAAAAAATATTCACGTTCGTCTAGTTTACTTCTCGAACGAATCGAACACGAATTCATTGACGAATCGAACACGAACTGTTCTCGAACAACGAGCTTTTTTAACAGCCCTACCTGCAGCCTTACAATAGCAGTCCTCTCTTATCACTGCTCTGAATCCCAACTGATGATAGGTTCCTTGAGGAAGATACACAATATTTTCCTGCAGCTTTTTCTGAGGGTTGTCTACTTCCATGCAAAACTCTCCTGCACCATTACATGTAGAAACTTTCTGCTTACCTACAAACACCGCAGGAACTGCAGTCAAATAGAAATCAGTATTTTCCTATAGGTTGTCTACTTTCCTGCAAACTCCCTAACAATATTACCAGTAGAAGCCTTCTGTCTACCTACAGTACAGAAACTGCAATTAAAGACAATAGTTGTTGTCTAATTCCTGACAAACATACCTGCAACATTTTTTGTAGGAGCCTTCTGCCTACCTACAAACACTACAAGAACTGCAGTCAAAGACAACCGCAATACGAGATGAAGACTAAATGCTACTTCACGGGATTTCCTTCGTTCATTGTTTGATGTTTTCAAATCCAAATTGAACATGATTTTCAACCATGTTTCAAATTAAGGCAGAGTTTTAGAAGTTATAATAGAAAATGATTTATTCTCGTTAGAATTTATGAGGAATAAATTATTTTCTGAGATTAAGAGTTATTTTCTTTTTTATTTTATATTTATTTTCTTGGATTATGAGTTATTTCCTTTCTTATTTTAAATTTTCCCATTTTATGTTATTTCGTTTATCTCCAAATAATTAACATGAATTGATTATTGGAGATATTTGGTGATATATCTTTTCTTTTATATTATTTTTTTATTATCTTTACTATTATAGGATTCATGTAAATGTTTATCTATACCCCCTCCATTTCAATGAAAATAACTCAGTTTAATTATGTTTTATTCTGCAGTATTCTGAATGTCAACATTATCTACGGTGATATGGTAGCTATTCTCATTTTATCTTATTTCTTATTAGGGTTAGTTTAATAATTAGGTGACATATGAGTAAATAGGTGTTTTCCAATAAACACTCAAGCCTTGGATCAAATTGATTATTAGTTTTTTCAGAGTTTGATTTAAATTTTGTTCATTCGGAAGCCTTTTCCTACCCATGAGGTGGATTCCCGCTTATTTAGGAGGTAAAGGAACCATAGCAAGACCTTGCCAAATTTGATTTACCTACATTAGGAGGTAAGAGCGAAGGAAACTTATGAAGGTCTCGCCAAAGTTAATTTACCTACACTATTGCTAGTGACAAAGACCACCCTGTACCCCAAGTAAATAGAAAGTACGTTCCGTGTAGCTCAGGATCCGAATACAGCTTATACTCAGGTACTGGTATGTTCCTGGAAAGACTTCCGCAAGAAAATTGTTCTTATTGCAGCTAACGTCAGGCCAAAAACAGGTTTCCTGTTGATTTTACTCCCCCAAATCGTAACTTTGCATTTCCTTACTGAAAAGTTGAGGTTTCTTGTTACCTTGCATCCCCGGGCAAGAACGGGAGAAATAGCAGCCCGACGATAGCATCAACCCAGGGAAGCAACCTATAGCTAGCAAGTGCAACAAGAAAAATGCCAACAAGTTAAAAAATATTCTTTTAGGGAATCAGAACTGTGCTAACCCAGGTACTCTATGGTCCAATACTGAATAAAATTTTACATTCAAATTTTTTTGGAATTAATAATCTGAGTAAAGTTCTCATCATACCAAAAACATAACTCATTGCCTTGCTTCACCTCAATCTCTATTTCTGTAAGGCACTTGAGAGACGCTCCCAGTCGCGGCCCATTATTCATGTCCCGTGCAAACTTCCTCTAGATTTCCACTGTTTGAGCTTTTAATATTAGCGAGCAGTTCGACACGGCGCTCCTGCTAGCATTCTTCATTTGGTTCTTATTCTCCACCATCTCGGCAAGATCCATCATCTCTATCAATCATTACAATCTCAATAGTTAGAGTGCTGCCCATATGTCGGGCATGAAGTTCCCCTTCAATTCTACTTCAAAAATCGCTCTCAACTGTCCCAACAATAACTTGAATATCTCTCTATATTTCATGACAGTCTTCTTCTGATTCAAGGAATAGAATTGCTCGTGTAGCTCTCTTTCCTGAATGACTCAGAAACGCTTCAATAAACAATACTTAAATTCTTCCCACCAACGGATCGAATATCTAGCTTCCCTCCACTGAAACCATGCTAGGGCTTTCTACTCCAAACATACCTTGTTGACATAAGCTCCTCCTCAGTTAGCCCATTTATTGATATAACCAACCATGTGTTTCTTCTCCTTGAAGATCAGTATCTTCAACTTCCTAACCCTAGCATCATCAACACAACTCCCCCTCCCTCTGGTTTTTCCCCCATGTATTTAGCCTGAAACTCCCTCCTTCGATTATAATCATACCTCATTCTGTTTTCTCTCATTTATTATTCGTGCTCATCCAACCCCTAGCATAACCCCTCCATGTTTCGGCCCAACAACCTCCATCAGAAATCACTAATCTACCCCCCATCGGAGTCTCAGAGGGTAATTTGTGATGGTGGATGTTTTATTCCTCATGTTCTTCACATTTGATCTTTTATTCCTCACGATCAAGCTACATATTCTCCGTTCAACCTTTGATTAAGATTTGCAAATTAAGCTGTTAGAGGGGTCTTCAATTGTATCTCAATAAGTCACTTTATCATCTCCTCAGGAGGGTGCTTAGCTACACTATGGATTTAATTTAATAAGATTTAATAAATCCAGTGAATCTGGATTTATCAAATCCAAAAGGGTTAAATCCAGAAAAATGTTTGGTTTAATTAAGATTAAATCCCTTCGAAGTGTTCGGCAGATGAGAGAAAGAACAACACACGTGTTTTTTTTTCCTTGACTTAAATCCATTAAATTCACCTAATAATCAGATTTAATTGCAGGATTTACGTCAAAATAAAAAAAAAATGGATTTAATTTAACGGCGGGATTTAATCATTTTTCTCATGTTAACAAATTTAGGATAAAATTTAACGTAAATCATACTTAAAACTCCCTACCAAACACCTCCCAAGGCTCTCAAATTAGTCCTCCATTCGGCTCTACATAGAAGAAAATATTTCACGCAGCCATCCATTCAGATTTCCAAGAAAAAAACCTATTAGGTTTCCCAGCAGGCTCAAATCGCGACTGTATCGCGCCCTGTAAGCTGCGAACCCGAGGTTGCGCGGGAGAACCGTACGCCGTGATCCCGTGGTTGTTGCGAGACCCAGCTAGGTCGAATGGCTATCGTTTTCGTCGCCTCAAGCCCGTCCATTGCTTCCCGGCTAGGTCTACTCGCGATTGTTTCGCGCAGCTGAGACTACGCCGCGATTAGGAACGAGCCGAACGAGGTTGTCGAGAAGTATACCGTCGTTGATGAGAACAAATATACAGAGTCGAATAAAATCACATAAAATCACGCCTCCTGACAGAAAAAAAAAAAAAAAAAAACGTTTTAATACAAGTGAAAATATTTTTTCCGCGTTATTCTGCATTATTCAGATATTATTGTGATATTATTTATGTATTATTATGTTTTGAAAAAATTTCCGATGTTATAATAACACAATAACACATTTATATCACCACAATAACACCTGAATAATGTGAAATAACACGGGAGCCAGGTCGGATCAAAAAAATAATATTTTTTTCCCTATCAGCCCCACGTGGAAGTGATTCATTGGACTCCGAATGTATATCTACGTCTAAAGTCCGGACGTAATAATTTCTCCGTTGATGAAGACCTAATCGTTTGATCCTGTAGGTGATTTCCAAAAATCGATTGTTTTGATATCAATTTGATACAATCCAGCTTTAAATTAATCATGTTTTTCCAAAAAAATAAATAAAAATAAAAAATAAGGCAAACAAAAATTTTATTTTTCAAACATCAAATCAAAGCAGCATAATAACTCACACAAATATATATAAAAAAGCATCTATAAATCAAGGGTAGGTGATTTCCCTGGAATCTAATAATTTGAAAGATGGTAAATTTCTCCCAAATCGTAAATCTAATATACAAGATTCAATTCACGAATGAAGCTATCTCGAAATGCAATAAACTTATTTATATCCAACAATAATAATAAAATAAATTACTTTTGGGCATATAAAAGGTCAAATTGTCCTTCAACTAGGCTCTGACATAACATAATAGACATCATCAGATGGGTGCAAGGGAACATTAGGCGTGCAAAAAAAAAGAAGCAAAAACAGTTTTTTGAGGAGATGGATGGTGAGACCAAGAGGTTTGGAATGGTTAAAGAGAAAAAATGAATATTAGCCGTGAAGAAGAGTAGATGGAGGAGAAAAGACTAAAACTACAGATACAATGATATTATCTATGGCGCTAAAGTAGTAAATGTCTAATTACTCTTCAAAAACTAACTAACGAGGAGAAAAGAGAAATTAAATGACCAGAAACAAATCAAAACAGTGTTTTAAATTAATTCAATAATGTAGCATATACTGAAGATGAAGTTATAAGGACAAACTCTTACTAGTGGTCTCCCAGATGGAAGTAGTATTCGCTCCATGGATGGGTCAAGTCGTGCTTTTTTGTCAGCACCAATAATAACACCTGGAAGATCTTTGAAGTTTGCTCCCTAAAAAAAATGATATAATATTAATATTAACCCAGAGAACAAGTTTATTGTTCCAAATGCAACATAGAATGCACAGTTCTCCAAACCAACCTTTCTATGTGGAATTTGACACACGCGCAAGTAGTCATCCTCCCCCAACGGTAGAGGCCGATGGTCATATAGTATAGAACTAGTACTGGTTACTGATCCCGAATCCTCTGCATTTCATATCCAGTTTGAAATTACAAGAAACAATTGAAAAGCACAAAGTCTAGCATACAATTTGACTCGGTCCTACATATATAACGATATTACTTGTGGCGATCGAGCACAGAAATTTAAAAAGGAGAACAAGTGCAGCAGGATTCATTGATTGCACATCAAACTTGAAGCAAAATCTAGCATCATGTCCCTTTAAAGCACTTCGACTACCATGATGTATCAATTGATTGTCAATATAAAAAGACATAGATAGCACCAACAAACGAAAGTTTAATGGCCAAGGTTAGCAAGTCGAGAAAAACTTAAAAGAGACTTTTGGGAAGTTTTTAGGCATTTAAGTTTATCAATTTTAAAACTAGCCATTTTAGTCTCTTCTTTAAAACCTGATGGAAATTTGTTTAATGGTCAAGCCTACGAACTCAAGGAAAATTACAGATACATGATATGCTGGCGTTTTTAGGCATTTCATTTATCAATATTCAAAACTAGCTATAAAACCCATCTTTATTATCTGTGATTTGCGAAGGAGTTCATTAAAATCAGTATGATGAGATTGCTAAATTAAAATTTTATGAATTGTACAAAAATAAAGGAACCAATTAATCCTAGACCTTAGAACAACTATGTCGGGTATTCTACTGTATGAGAAAGAAGTATCAACACGAATCTAGAGGAGATCTAACAACACGAACATGACAAGACATGTTAAAGGAGGGTCCACCAATAGAAAAATCGGAGGCCCATGCTTTCGATCAGAAGCATCAAGGTCGAATTAATCAAGGTAGTCAAGCGGCCAGAACCCAAGCAATTCAACCGGTCGCCGCATATAGAGAAACCCAGGACATCCCCGCTATGAAATCAACTCGAAGGGAAAAACTAAGCACTCAGATTTTACAATTCTCTCGGAGGTATTTAGCAGCCTCCCTAAACATCATCAAGAGCTAGTGGGACGAATCTTAGTCATCCCCCAAGATCTTTTCGTCCAAGGACGATTACCTATCGAATTACGGTGATTCACCGTCTGTCTGATAGACTAGCGCCGTCCAACATACAGGATCTCCTTGTCAGGGATTGATGGTTGACGACTAGGCTTGATCAATCGATCTACACAGCTTAGCCGACCGAATCAAACTTGTCGACCTTTCGCCAGTAAAAGTCCAGCCAACGGACAACATCAAGCCTAGCCGACCGACAGTCTTACCAGACTAGGCCGACCAATAGACCTCTTTAGTTTACCAAATCAATAGTGTATTTCAAAGGGTTTATCAGTATAGCCAACTAAGCTTTAGAGCCACCAGGCTCTGGGCTTACATATGAAAAATAACTATAATAATCTGTACAACTTCCATTTAAACAGGGGCACATATGTATATCACACATGATACTCACATTCCTTATAAATAAAGGGTCAATTTATGAATAAAATGTTACGCACTTCCTCTAAATTACTTCAAAATTCTCTCTCTCTCTCTCTCCCTCTCTAAGGCAAAAGTCATTGATATAAAAGAAATGATACAAAAGTTTTAGTGAGTGGGTACAAAGAACCCACTTACAGAGATTACAACTTACTCAAAAGAAGACATAAACCACACAAAATCCCCAAAAATATATATAAAAAAAGAAAACAACTTCTAATCATGGTAGGCGTAGTCGGTGGATTTACCGTTTCCCCTTCCCTTGGACCTAGGTAGGGAGTTCAACAGAGATTACAACTTACTCAAAAGAAGACATAAACCGCACAAAATCCCCAAAAATATATAAAAAAAAAGAAAACAACTTCTATTCATGGTGGGTGTAGTCGGTGAATTTACTGCTTCCCCTTCCCTTGGATCTAGGTAGGGAGTCCAGCAACATACTGATATGTGGGCTTCCGTCCGAAACTATGAAACCGTCATTCTGAGAATTACTGAGATCTAGCATTTTTTTTTTCTTCTTCCTAGATTTGTAAACCTGCCAATTATCTGCTAGAGGTAGTCCCGTCTTAAAAATAGGCGGATCTTCGATGGAGAGCTCACCCTGGGGGATATGTTGATTTGACTCAGCCTGCAACACATCTTGATTATAACACTTCCAAAACTTGAGTACTCTCTTCTCTCGCAATAGGTTATTTCAAAACACTTCGGTTAGCATCTGCTACAACAAAATTTGTAGTATTTGTGATCGAGTAAGAACTGCCTCGACAACGATAGCGAAAGCTACTGATCTGGTATGTTGATCTGTAAACTGTTGATTTGACTCAGCCTGTAACACATCTTGATTCTAACACTTCCAGAACTTGAGTACTCTCTTCTCTCACAATAGATGGTTTCAAAACACTTCGGCTAGCATCTGCTACAACAAAATTTGTAGTATTTGTGATCGAGAAAGAATTGCCTCGACAACGATAGCGAAAGCTACTGATCTGGTTGGTGAGTAGTAGCCTTATGAGTCAGATTTTCATTTAACATTTTTGGAAGATTAATAGTGTCTGTTATATTTTCCTCCACAAGGATGATGTTGTTAGGACCTATTGATCTCAAATGTGGGTGAAGCCTGAAGCACTTGACAGGGCCCAAACAATTTACAGTGATTACAGTATTAGGGTCATTGTTAATCTCAAATGTGGGTGAAGCCTGAAGCACTTGACAGAGCCCTAACAATTTACAGTGATTACAGTATTAGGGTCCTTGTTATGCACTGTCAATACCCATTGTGGGCAGTACCAAACCATATTTCGTCCACATCAGAGAGTGTGATATCCCTTTCAATAAGAATTCTTGCAACCAAAGGCCTAGTTAGATTGAAGTTGGGTGTATCCAATTTCATAAGTCTCCCTAGTGCAACTCCAATAGAATAGATGACTTGGTGATTGAAGTAGTGCAACTCCAATAGAATAGATGACTTGGTGATTGAAGTAGTGCAACTTTAGGTCAGGTAGTTTAAACCAGATTAAAACTATAGATGGTTCTTAGCTAGGGTCAAATTCAGGAGACCACTTAAGCAGTTTCATATATTTCTCATCTATTTTCATAAACTTTTTGAAAAATATTTTAGCGTAGTCTTCCACTTTAGATAATTGTATCATCACATGTCTCCCATCAAAGAGGTCAACCTTCCAAAGTCTCAATAGTTTGATATCTTCAAAAGCCTTTCGAACGATACCCATTTTAAGATGTCCCGATTGGAATTTCCCAATGAGGGTGAATTTGCACTTGTCATCTAGGTTGGAAACTTCATCATCAGAGAATAATATAGAGCTAGTTTGTCACTCTTCCTACACGTCTTCTTGAAAAGGTTGCAGTCCTCCTGGCCTTTGAATGATTCATGATAAACTTGAAGGAAAACATTGATCCCACAAAGCCAACCATATCAACATAAGAAGCCTTCCCAAGGTTTAAAACTTAAACTGTCAGTGGTTGAGGAGGAACAAAAGCCATAGAGCTGAGTGTCGAACAACGGGTAGCTCCTGGGTTTAAGTCGTGTCTTCAACCAGAGCTCTTTGCTGCTCGATTCGCAGAGCAGGGATCAAGCGACACGTCATAGGAAGGATCACAACACTGTGCGTCCGCCGCTACCTTCTCACGTGAGACGATCCAGAAAAATGACTCGATCGAACGAATGATACCGAAGAATAAAACGAAGCGAACGAGTGAGGCTGGGGCATGACGACACGATCCCCCACCCTTCCTCTTCAAGCAGGATTCTACAAACCGGTGCGGCTTCCCGCATCGCCATGGAGTCGCGACAGGAGGAGTAAACCTTAGCAGAGGAACCCAATGCATTTTTTATATATATACTACTCATCATATATATATATATATATAT